GTGTTTGATGTCAGCCAGAGGCCCTGCTGTCCTGCCATGAACCAGTAAATATAGTTCAGCGTCAGGCCATAAGGAAGGACAAGGAGAGGAAGCCCCATAACCATCCATCCAAGACCAATGGTTTTTCTCTCCACACTTTCAGAGCACTTAATTCTGGGTTCAAGTAGGGCAAGATGGCAGCTTAGTCCTAAATCTCCCCACTTACATTAGTCAAGATAGGCTAGCTATGGTAACAAGCAGTGCAAACTTTCTGTGGTGTAATACTATAAAGATTAATTTCTCATTGAGCTCACAGGTCGATGCAGATCAGGTGGCTCTGGTTCATGCTAAAGGACACAGGCCCCTTGAATGCGTGGCTCTGCCCATACCTTAGGGCTGCAGAGTCCTCCACTGGCTCCTCTGCTTCTGTCCAGCTGATGAATGAAGGCAGAGGGCATGGAGAAGGCACACGTGCTCTTGATCACCTCCACTCAAGCTGACACACATCAGTTACACCTTGGGCAGTTCTCTACTGAATGGCTTCACCTAACTGAAGGATAGGCTCAGAAATGTAGTCCTCATGAGTACCAAAAAGAAGAACAGATTTGCTGAATAGAACCATCTATGTCTAACCATCTCCTCTCAGAAACCCTGTGGAGCCCTGCTGTTCAATAGGTAGCTACTAGTCACATGTGGCTATTTAATTTAAACAAAGTTTAAAAATTCAGTTCCTCAGTTGCACTATCCGTATTGCAAGTGCTTGATTGCCACTCGTGGCCGGTAGCTACTATAGTGGACAGTGTGGATAGAAGTTTCTATCATCACAGCAAAGATCTATTAGATTGCACTGATACAGAGTCTTTTAGACAGGATCTCAGAAAGGAATGGATGAAATATTCCAATAGAATAATCTTAGAAGAGTTCAATAAAAGGACAATTTACTTAGATATTGGCAGTTTTTAGGATAATTTTAAGAGATAGTGCAGTACCTTGGGACTAGTTAGGCAATGGTTACTGTCCCTAGGCTTGAAGCAGTGGTGGGAGGGAGCAGTTACTGGCACCTGGAGTAGAGGCTGTGTGGAGGGGGCCATCTGAAGGAGCTATCACCTTTGGTTGAAGTGTCAGTCAACATGTGGCCACCCTGCAAGCAGGGAGCTAAGAGAATAAATATCCTGATCTCACTCTCCTCCCTCCATCTGATCTCCTTCTGGAATGTCCCACTGGCTGGACACAACCAGACCCCAGTGGGCAAGGGAGTTCATTGAGTTAGTACTTACAGGTCAGTAGCTCAGGACACTGAGCAGGGTGGAGAAGGGTAGATAGTGGGTCTGGAGGGACAAATGGGAAAATTTCAGCAAAATCCACCCTTTTTGTCCCTTAAAGGGTTGGGGTTGAGGGGAAGGTGTTGCTGTGGAAGAGGGGAAGCCCCATAATCAACTCCCCTCTGCTCTTCTTTTCCCTTTCTTCTGTGTTTGAGTTATACCACACCTGTAAGTATGGAAAAATGCCTAAACCTAAGCATAGCTACTGACCAATTACAGAGCTGACACCTTTGTAATTACCATCCAAGTGAAAATAGACACCTCACTGCCCCAGCCAGGAGTCCCTGTGCCTCTCCCCACACAGAACCCATCCCTCCCTGCACAGTGTCCACTAGGCTGACTGCTTCCTCTGCCCCTTTCCTTCCTGGTTCCTCCCCTTCCACTGCTGTTGGCCTCATCCCCCTAAGGTCACTGTTTCCTCTCTCTCCTCACTCCTTCAGGAGCTTCCCCATCTTCCTAGGCCATTACCCTGGGGATCTCTTCCTCTTAGTCCCCCTCTTTCACCACATCCTAGGGATGGAGAACCCAGAATTGATTCCCTGGAGGAGGAGAGTTCACCCTGGAAACGGTAGCAGGAACAAGTGACCTGATCTCCAGGATTCAAGGTCTCATCCAGGGGACTGAGGGCACCCAGTATGTTTGTGGGTCCAGCCTGGAGATCTTGCTGCTACCTGAGGACAAAGTCCACGGTCATTCAGTGGGGAGGGAAACGTCTGTGTCAGCATGTATTTTGGGAAACAATTCAGACTGTGAACCTGACACTGGTTGGGGGCTCCCCCTTGTGTGCACAGCCCTGCCTTGCTGCTGGGAGCACAGGGAGACCCTGGGGAGGTCCTGGGGAAGAGGCCAAAGGGGAGCTCCGGTCTTCTGTCCTCAGCCCTGTGGCCACACAGAGGCACCACTGCTCTGCTCTCTCCTATTCCCACAGCCAGGGCAGAGGATGGGCTGTGGTCTGAGTCAGGCAGAGGTGGCTGATCTGGAGGCTGGACATCAATGGGGGATGAGGATGCCTCTGAGCAGCCCTGGGCTCAGGCTCGGGAGTGGGGCAGGGACTGGAGAAGAGGGGAGCTCTGGAGCCCTGCCCTGCGTCTGAGGTTTCCATGGGTTGTCCCCACAACCCGTCTCCAGCCTCTGGATGACAACACTCTGGAAAACTGAAAAGTAGATCATGTTTTTCTTCTACTCCCTATTCATTTTCTGAGGGCTGCTTTAAAAAATAATCTCTTTTATTTTAGAATATGTAGTTTGAGATTTACAGAAAAGTTGCAAAGTTAGTACGGAGTTCCTGTATGTCCCACACTCAGTTCCCCGGATATTAACGTGTATATCACTATCATATATTTATCACAGCTAATGAAGCAATACTGATATTAAACTCCATACTTTATTCGGATTTCATTAGTTTTTCTTTTTTTTGTTCCAGGATCCCATCCGTGATACCACACTAAGTCCCAATCACGTCTCCTTCAGGCTCCTCTGGCTGTGACAGTTTCTCAGACTCCTTGTTTGTGATGACCTTGACATTTTTGAGGAGTACTGCTCAGCTATACTGTAGACTGTCTCTCAGTTTGTGTTTGGTTGACCGGGGCTCTGGGGTTTCTGGGAAGAAGCCCACAGAGGTGAAGTGCCATTTTCTACACAACATATCAAGTGTCTATTATACCCACTTGATTGATCACTGATGATGTTAACCTTCACCGCCAGGCTGAGGTCGTGTCTTTCCCTGGGAAGTTCCTTTTTTTTCCCTCCCTTTCTATACAGTAGTCTTTAGAAGGAAGTCAGTCACTATATGTTGCCCACACTTAAGGGGTGTTCTGCTATAAACATTTGCATGCAGATTTTCGTGCAAATGTAGGTTTTCAGAGGAGTAGGTGAATACCTAGGAGAGTGATCAGGGTGCATGGTAAGTCGATGTTTCGCTCTATAAGAAACTGCTGAATACCTTCCATGGCGGCTGTGCTGCTTTGTGTCCCGCCCACAGCAAATGAGGGTTCCTGTTGATCCACATCCCAGTAAGCCCTTGGCATCAGCAGTTTTTCAATTCAGGATGTTTTAATAGGTGTGTAATGGTTATCACTGTTGTTTTTATTTGCATTTCCCTAAGGACATATGACGTTGAGCATCTTTTCATATGCTTATTAGCCATTCATATATCTTCTTTGGGAAGGTGTCTGTTCAGACTTTTGCTCAGATTTAATTATTTGTTTTCTTATTGTTGAGTTCTGAGGGCTCTATATATATTCTAAAACAAGTCCCTTATCAGATATATGATTTGCAAATATTTTCTCCCAGTCTGTCACCTGAGTCCTTTTACTGACATAACAGTATTCATTAATGCATACATACATTTTTCTGGGCATAGAAATGAGAAATTGCTAACTGTGATGGTTTCTGGGTAGAGGACTTGGGTGAATGGGAGATGGGGAATGAATGAAGTGACTTATTTATTTTTGTATATTCTTGAGTACCATTTGAATTCTCTCGTGTGTGCATGAATAATGTTTTCAAAAATAAATTACATTAAAACTCCTTAAACTTGTAAAACACTTGACAGGTCACCCTCAGACCAGGATTTCAGACTCCGATTCTGATCCTGTCCTCGAGGATCTCTTCACTCAACTATTTTGCCTTAGAATGTCCATTTCTGAGAAAGGTGGGCTAGATTACATGGACCAATCCTCCCACTGGAAATAGCTAAAAATGCCGTGTAAACTACGAAAAGCATCTTCTTAAGAGCATCAAAGAGCCGACAAGATACCAATAAATGACCACACCCCAAAAAGAAGGGAAAGATCCTGCTTGGCCTCCACAGAGAACAGTGTCCTGAGAGATGGAGAAAAGGCTCTGTGAGCTCATTGCCCAGACACGGAGCCCAGCACTTCCAGCTCTGAGCCCTGAGCTCTGGACTGTCCTAGCCATCTGCTTCCCTTTTAATATTTGAACAAAGCTTATATTCTGATTATGATGTATATGTATATTGTATAACACATCTGATATAATGTATATTCACTGTAGGAAAATTATAAAATGTTAAAAATTATAAGTGATAAAGTAATAATAACTATTATCCTCACACTTGGAGATAATTCTGTTGCATTTTCTCCTGGTTTCTTATGTATCCTCCTGCTACTGCCCCAGGGCTGGAACTCTCTCTCTAAGCTGATGAGCACAGAACTGAGTGGCCCCAGCCCTGCTCTCTCCAGATGCCATTTCCTGAGGCAGTTCACTCTCACACCTCCTGAGGGAGTTCTTTCTCTTTCTCCTCCCTCCTCAATCCCCTCCACTCTCTCCCCACTCTCAGGTGATGAGCTCTTTTCCTTTTTCACTCAGAGAAAGGAAGAACTAGGTGAGAACTGCGCCATCATCCCCCCACACCCCACATCTGTACCTGTATCCTCTGCCTTCACAGCAGTGATGATGGATGGTCCTGCTCCTGTCTAAGGCCACCTCTCAGCTGGGGCACAAGATCAAGTCCCCTCCCTCCCCTGCATCATCAACTTCCTGCTCTCTACTGGCTCATTCATTCCTGCATACAGACAGGCTGTAATAGCTCCCATTTTAAAAGAAAAGAAAGAAAGAAACTAAATAAATCAAAACGAAATCCTCCCATAAAAATCCCCCACTCAGTCCCATGTCTCCTTCTAGCCACTGCCCCATTTCTAGGATGCTCCTGGGAGGACAATTCCAGAGCCCATTCTCTCACCTACCATGTTGTCTTTCTATTTTTACTAAACATCCATTTGCACAGAGTTTAAAAGGTCCAGTGCTTCCACAAGGCTTCTTAGGAAGACAGATGCCCAACGCCCCCCCACCAACCCCGCCTTTTTCCTGAATCTCACAGACAACTTGTTTCAGTTCTTTTTGCTGATTCTCTGATTGTTACTTCTATGCCTTTAAACAGAATACTTCCAATACTCCTTCTTTGTTATTCAGTTTTATGCATCATCTTTAATAAACTGGCTTTCCTTTCACACACCCCCATCCACCCAATATAATTACTTTACAATTCTGATAAGTTCAATGTGCAGTGTTTGCATTATCACCAGGTAAACATTAGTCACAACTGAGCATCTTGTAGACTATGATTACTTTTCCTGTCTTGAATCAACTTTTTATGTTCCCTAGAGTTAACAGATATCTTGTTTCTTCATTTGCTTACTTTCTGTATTCATTACTAAATGATTCCACTACTCTCTCCAGAGTCTAAATGTCCATGAATATATTCAACCACACCTGACAATTCACCAGCTTCCTCTTTGTGAACACAGCTGTCCCACAGCCCTCAGTCCTGCCCCATGTGGACTGGTTCTCTGCACACCTGGGGCAGGACTGACATCCCGGATCTCCTTCTCCTTTTGTCTCTCTCTTGTTCTAGCCCCTTTGTTGCCTGGATCTGACTTTTCTCCCTTTTCTGATGTTCTCCATCATTGTTCCCCTCATTGCCCAGTGGTGTCCTGAGGAAGGGAACATGGAAAGCAAAACAGTGAAACTCTAAACATCTGAAATACGTTTAGGCTGCCCCAGCCCTTACTCACATCTTGACTTGGTATAGAACTCCGCATTGGAATATGTTTTCCTTGGAATCTGGAAGGCATTGCTGCAATGTCTGCTAGCCTCCAAGTCTGTGATTGTTGCCTCTTAAAGTTTTCAAGGGCTTGCTTTTCCATCTTCTCTCAGAAATTCCAATGTGTTTGTCATGGTGTGGGTCTGTTTTTATCTATTGTAGTGAGAACTTTGTTAGGATATTCAAGATGTAAATTTTTGTCTGTAAATGCTGAGAAATTTTCTTAACTTTTTCTTATCACTTCCTACTCTCCATTCCTTTTGAAACCGGTACTACTAATGTGTTGGAATCCCTTGATTGATGGATTAATATTCTTCGAGGTCTTCTCTCCTGCTTGCCGTGACTTTTCCATCTGTACTACTTCATGGGAGTATGACTTTAATCTTCCAGTTCATCTATTGAATTATTCATTTCTATGATCATATTTTTAACTTTCAAGAGCTCTTTCTAGCTGTGTGACTGCATATAATTTTATATAATTCTGTTCTTGTTTCGTATACCATGAATCTTTTCCATCTTTTAGATATCATTGATAGCAGCGGTAGGGAACCTGTTAGTTCTTCTGGCTCTCTGCTTTCAGGTCATCATGAATGTTTTCCTCACAGCACTTGCTCCGAAGGAGTTTCATTTATCTTTGTCATTTCTGCTAAATGTCCATCGCCCTCAGGACAATGCCAGAGTCTTCTTTTGCTCTTCACTGTATCTCTAGAGTCTAGCTGATCCTCATTCACTGGACGCCTTGAAATAGACACTGGTTGATGGACTTTACTCTGTTTTGGGCAGTTAAGACTGACTGCCCCTTGAATGCCCTCCTCAGCTCTGAGTCTAGCAGCCTATCACAGAATATTCTGGAACACTGCAACAATTCACTTGCATGGAGTGCAGAGTCATATCCACCACCTGAGGGACAGAGAACCAATGGGAGACAAGTCAACAAGGCCTCTAAGAGAAAATCCCTGGGTTCAGCCTTGGCTCTATCACCTCCTAAACCTCTCGGAGTCTCCCTTTCCCTGTTCATACAAAGGGATCACATGTTGGGAGCCTCAGGGGTTTGCTTTGAGGATTAAATTTGACCCTCTATGATATCATATGGTATTAATCCCTGAGACATATTAAGTGTTCTTCTAGTCATAGTTACCAAAGTTATAGTGATCGTAGCATTTACGTAAATTCCATTCTTTGCTTTTATAAACCATAATTCAAGAAACATCCTTGAATATATACTTTTAAGAACATGCGTGATTATCTTCTTAGAATAAATTTCTAAAAGACAAATTTCTGTGTCAAAATGTAAGCACATTTAAATTGTTGAGACATTTTTCCAAAGCATCCTTTACATATTTTGTACCAGTTTTCAACCCCATCAATCTTTATGACAGTGTATTCTCCCCACCCTCTGGTTGATACTCTCATCACTTACTTTCATCTTTGCCAAGCTGGTAGATTGTAATTTTTATTCCCATTTCTTATTCTGTGCTCTCTTTTTTTGGCATTTATTTATCTAATATATTTGTTCGATATTGTCATTTCTTTTTTTCCAAATTGTTTTCTAATATTCTTTAATTATTTTTTGATTGAGTTGTAGTTATTTTAAAATACTGAATTTAGAAAGAAGAAACAGCAGCCCCAGCATCAGGAACTGGTCTGACACTTACAGCGGGGCCTCAGTGTGGTCAGAAGCCAGCCTGATACTCACAGCTGGACCATGTTATTCTCCTGTTGGACATTGGTCACCTTACGTAACATCAACATTAGACAAGGACACTCTGAGAACATGTAAAAGTGAGACAAAATGAGACCACTACAGCACGTTGTCTCAGCACAGACAAAAACAAGGCACTGTGCAACTCACAAAATACCAAACATCTCCCTGTGCTGGCTCACATGAGCGACTGCTGCTTCTTTCCAGTCACAGCCTTATCCTTGCTCGAGTCGGCCCTGTCTACAGATAAGATTTATTGAGATGCCCAATCACAGAATAGCCCCCACTTCCTGACAACACCCAACCTAGAGTGAGCCTCTGCTTCTATAGACGCTCCCCCAAATCACCCAACCAAAGCCCAAATCCTATATAGGTTCCAACTCCTTCACACTAAGATGCCCACTGGCCCCTGATGCTGTGTCTTCTCCCTCACAGCAACAAGTAATAAACCCAACTTGTCTGCCCACAGATGTGCTTTGGTGGTCTTTGGCTGAATAAGATTAAGGCATGTTATTACCCTTTTGTCTGTCAAAATTTTTTACTTGTCTTTGATTACGGGCATGTGTTCGTATGTTGTGAGTGTGTGATTGACATAGAGAAGTTTTATGTTTTTCTTTATGGTTTTTCATCTTTGGGTCATGCTTAGAGAATTATCTATTCCACAACTGTAAAAACTTAATGTATATTTTCTTCTAGGAGAGCCGTTCAAGGGTGAAGGGAAATGGAACTGTCTGAACTTTGGGGGAAAGCATGGGAAGGAGCAATAGGTGAAGAATTCTAAGGTGGTGGCATTCTAAGGCTTACATCTTCTGCTCTATGATTTTACAAGTATGTACAGGGCCTGCAAGGTAGTTGATGTACGTTGTGTTCAATAAATGTTTTCTCTGGGGCTAAGTGAAAACTTATGTGCCTGCTTATTTACCAGGTTAATGAAAACACCACCAAGAGTCCCAATGTAATATACACAAGGATTAGCTCCAGTGATGGGCATCTTTGAATACTTACAACATGGATTTGATAAATCATATTTTGGTTAATGTCTATATGCTCTATTTGTTAAAATAGAAATTAATTCAACTTCTTGGGCTTGCTGTATTTTAAGGATATGTCTAAGACCCACATGGACAAGTCCATGACCCCCACATGAAGATAATTTTAATATACATCAACCTCTGAATCACACAGTATCTTTGTTGGGGGAGGAGACTGAAAACTAAGAACATTCTAGATACGCCCTGTCCAATATGGCAGCTACTAGCCACATATGGTTATTTAAATTTAAAGTAAATAAAACTGAAAATTCAACTGCTCAGCACAGTAGCCATATTTCAAGTGCTCAATAGCCACATGTTGCTTCTGACTTCCATATGAGACAGTGTAGATAGAGAACAATTCCCTCATCACAGAACATTCTATTGGACAGTACTGCTCTTCATACTTTGTGGGCCTCAAGTCAGATGCATGAGACCCATGTAAAAGGAAAGGCTCAATATCATTTCTCTTAGAGATACGTCAGATTTCTGTGTGAGATATGAATACATTGTAAGCTGGTATACAACGAAACCAACATAGGTCATGAGTGGGTCTGGTGCCTTCAGGCACGAACTGTTCCTAGTTCCAAAGGGAAACACTGTCCCTCCACTTCACTTCCCAGACTGAGGACACTTTCTGGCATCACATTTCTAGGGGGTGAGTTCTCTTCTAGCGGAGACTGGGGGCAATGCTCTAAGCTAAATTTTGGGAGGCAGGGAGTCCAACTCAGGGAGAGGGATTCTGGGAAATGAAGGGGAGACAGAGGTGAAGACCCATTGGGAGACTCTCCCCGGTTTATTTAGAACAGCAGTTCTCCAAGTGTGGTCTGTGGAACCTTTGCAGTCCCCGAGATCCTTTCATGGATCCATGAGTCAAAACTCTTCATATTATTACTCGCATCATTTGCCTTCTCACTATGTTGACATTTGCTGAGGTAAAACTTAGTACGAACGGAGGCCATGGTGCTAAACTGCAACAGTAGTTACCTCCACCACCTCTTACTTGCAGAAAAAGCAAAACACTTTCACTTTAAAATGCCCTGAAGCAGTAAAAATTATCTTTACCAAATCACTATCCTTAAATCCACGTTTTAAAAATATCTTATATGATGATGTGGGAAGTACACATAAAGCCTGTCTGCTACATTCCAACATACTATGTCCCGAGGAGCATAATTTGTGTGAACTGAGGTAGTGTAGCCTCTTTTTTATCAAATACCAGTTTTACTTGAAAGAATGAATGACAGAAACTGATTAGTCTTGATTATTTGTCATACAGTTTTTCAAAATGAATGTGAGCCTTTCCTTTCAAGAAAATGCACTGACAGTACTTATTGCCTTGATAAAAAGGAAGCTCTCAAGAGAAAACCAGAATTTTGGAAAACTTGTAACCAGCAAGTAAGCTTGACAGCTTCCCAGTACTGACAGACTTTCCCGTTGAGATCCGTGGTCATATTAGCAAATGCGATATTTTGATAATATTTAGCTAAATGCGCCAATAAGAGATCGATATAACTAGTGAAACAATGCATTACTTTAAATTATACATTAGTATGAGCCATATAATATGCAAAATAGGTCTGTAGATTTTAATATAACAGAATGGGAAATATTCAATGATACTGTTTCAGGTTCCACTTTGTGAATAACCATTGAGAAACTACCACTTGTGCAGTTTTATTTTAGTATCAGAGGGGAATATTCACAATTATCTGAAAAAGTTATTAAAAATACTACTCCTACATATTTGTGTGAGGCTGTACTTCTTTTCATATACTTTAACCAAAACAAGAGATTAAACGCAGAACAAATATGAAAATCCAGTAGTCTTCTAATGAGACAAAGAGACTTGCAAAAACGTAAAATGTAAAAAGATCCACTCTTTTCATTACCTTGTCTATTTTTGGAAATAGCTATTTTTCATAAAAACATTTCTGTTAACTTGCAAGGGCTTAAGAATGTTATTCTAAAGAAATTAATAAAAATATTAAATTTTTATTCCTAGTATGGTAAATACAGATAGATATAACCAAGATAAACAAAATTACCCTTGGGGCCCTCGCTAATTTGTAAGACTGTGTGGATATCCTGAAACCCAAGTGTTTGAGAATCGCTCACTCCAACAGGCCCTGGGCCAGGACTCAGGGAGACTGCGTGACAAAGAGCTCTCGGTGCAGGAGGAGAGGGGTCAGGGCAGAGTCCCAGGTCCCCGGACGTGGATCTCAGGGTCTGAGGTCCGAGGGCGGAGTCTGGGGCCGGGAAGCTCAGTGTTGGGGAGTCCCCGTCGCCCCGAGTTTCACTTCTCCCTCTCACAACCTGTGTCAGCTCCTCCTGCCTGGTGACTCATGACGCGGCCCCAGTTCTCACTCCCAATGCGGGTCCGGTTTCTACAGCAGTCAATCAGCGTCTCCGCGGTTCCCGGTTATAAAGTCGCCACCACCTTGCGGAACTCAGATTCTCCCCAGATCGCAAAGATGTGGGTCATGGAGCCTCGCACCTTCCTCCTGCTGCTCTCGGGGGCCCTGACTCTGACCGAGACCTGGGCAGGTGAGTGCGGGGTCGGGAGGAAACGGCCTCTGCTGGAGGCAGAGCGAGGGGACCACGCGACTGGGACGGAGGACCCCCGGGGAAGGCGCGTCTCCGCGGACTCAGCCCCAGACCCGCCCACCCCGCCCCCGCCGCGTCCCTTCTCCTTCCCTCCCCAGTCTCCCGCCCTCTCCTCTTCCCGACTGGGGTCTCCCGCGCTTCTCCATCTGCCGCCCCTTTTCCGTCTCACGAGCCCCTCGGCCCCTCCCCCTCCCGGCCCCATCACCCTCGGACCCGGTTACCCGCGCCGGGAGGAGGGTCGGCCGGGTCTCAGCCCCTCCCCGCCCCCAGGCTCCCACTCCATGAGGTATTTCAGCACCGGCGTGTCCCGGCCCGGCCGCGGGGAGCCCCGCTTCATCGCCGTCGGCTACGTGGACGACACGCAGTTCGCGCGGTTCGACAGCGACGCCGCGAGTCCGAGGATGGAGCCGCGGGCGCCGTGGATGGAGCAGGCGGGGCCGGAGTATTGGGAGCGGGAGACGCGGACCGCCAAGGGCAACGCACAGACTTTCCGAGTGGGCCTGAACAACCTGCGCGGCTACTACAACCAGAGCGAGGCAGGTGAGCGACGCGGGCCCGGGTCTAGATCGCGACCTCCCATCCCCACGAACGGGCCGGGGTCTCCCCGAGTCTCCGGGTCCGAGATTCACCCCGAGGCTGCGGGACCCGCCCGGCCCCCGACCCGGGAACAGCCGGCGGGGACTTTTCCGCGGTTTCGTTTTCAGTTTAGGTTTAATCTCTGCGGGGGGCGCGGCGGGGGCGGGGCGGGGGCCGGGCTGACCTCGGGGCGGGGTCAGGGTCTCACACCCTCCAGTGGATGTCTGGCTGCGACGTGGGGCCGGACGGGCGCCTCCTCCGCGGGTACAGTCAGGACGCCTACGACGGCGCCGATTACATCGCCCTGAACGAGGACCTGCGCTCCTGGACCGCGGCGGACACGGCGGCTCAGATCACCCGGCGCAAGTTGGAGGCGGCCGGAGTGGCGGAGGACTACAGGAAGTACCTGGAGGGCCCGTGCGTGAAGTGGCTCCTCAGATACCTGGAGAACGGGACGGAGACGCTGCAGCGCGTGGGTGCGAGGGGACACGGGGCCTCCTGATCTCCCCTCGGGCCGGGCTGGCTTCCCACAAAGAGGAGAAAAGGGATCAGTGTCAGAACACCCTCCCTCAGAAAAGAAAGGAATCCACCCAGGTTCTCATGTTCTTACTAAAGACTCGCCCAGTGGGCCCGCCCTTCTCTACAGGACAATAAAGGAATCCAGTTTCTTCAGGAATAGGAGGCGAGACCATCGCTGAAATCGCCCATCATTGGTTCCCTTTGACCCTGGCAGCCACCTTGTGAACCATGACTTTCTCTCTCAAGGCCTTGTTTTCGGCCTGAAAAGATCTGTGCGACTTTGACTCCAGTTTTTTTGAGTTATTCACCCTCCACCCAGGTCAGGACCAGAAGTCTGTGTTCTCTTCTTTGGAGACGTGGAGTCTCCTACCCTGGACATTCACGTGGATTCTAGAACTTTCCAAGGGATAGGAGATTATCCCAGATCCCCAAGTCCGGGCTGGTCACTGAGTTTTGTTCTTCCCCCTTCCAAACCAGTTGTCCTGTCCGTTCTCAGGATGGTCACATGAGTGCTGCTTTAGTGGCCCATGGAGGTAATTGAAAGTGTGAATTTTCTGATCCTTCTCCTCAGAACCCCCAAAGACACATGTGACCCACCACCGAGTCTCTGACCATGAGGTCACCCTGAGGTGCTGGGCCCTGGGCTTCTACCCTGCGGAGATCACCCTGTCCTGGCAGCGTGATGGGGAGGACATGACCCAGGACACGGAGCTTGTGGAGACCAGGCCTGCAGGGGACGGGACCTTCCAGAAGTGGGCGGCAGTGGTGGTGCCTTCTGGAGAGGAGCAGAGATACACGTGCCATGTACAGCACAAGGGGCTGCCTGAGCCCGTCACCCGGAGATGGGGTAAGGAGGGAGCCCTGGGCTCAGAGCCTCTTCTCAGGGAAATCAGGAGCCCTTCTGGAGAACTTCAGCAAGGTCAGGACTCAAGCCTGAGGTCAGAGCCCCTCACCGTCCCTTCTCTTTGCAGAGCCATCTTCTCAGCCCACCATCCCCACAGTGGGCCTCATTGCTGGCTTGGTTCTCCTTGCAGCTGTGGTCACTGGAGCTGTGATCTGCAGGAGGAAGCGCTCAGGTAGAGAAGGGAGTGGGGATTGGGGTTTTCTTGTTCCCCTGGGGGGTTTCAAGCCCCAGGTGGAACTTGCCCTGTGTTGTTCATGGGGATTCCCCTCCACACACATGTGCTTGCCGCTCTGGAGCTGCTTGCTGACCCTCTTATTAAAGCACCTGTGAAAATGAAAGACAGATTTCTTCACCTTGATAGTTTTGGTGCTGGAGACCTGATTCTAGCAGTCGAAGGTCAGAGGGGAAGGTCCTTGCTCAGGATCGGGCTCCGGTTGGTCCAGTCCCCACACATCTCCTTTCTTCATGTTTCTCAATCCTTCCCTGAGTCTTCAGTTACTGTTCTGGAAACTTCTCTGTGGTCCAGGACTAGGGGGCTCCTCTAGTATCTCATGACCCAGTCTTCTCCCTGTTATCTTCCCACACGTGGAAAAGGAGGGAGCTACACTCAGGCTGCAGGTAAGTTTGGGTTGGGGGTTGATTCCTGAGACCCTTGGGATAGTGTAGACAGGAGCCATGAGGGAGCTCACTCACCTCATAGCTCCTCCTTTAGTCTCCTCTCCTGTGGGCTCTGACCAGGTCTTGTTTTTGTCCTACCCCAGGCAGTGACAGTGCCCAGGGCTCTGACGTGTCTCTCATGGATCCTAAAGGTGTGCCCCTGGAGGCCTGAAGTTAGGAAGGAGTTGGGGCAGAGGGGACACGACTGGGTTTGGGGATTCGTTGGGACATTTTGAGGACGTAGTGGGTTATTGAGAATATCAACACTTGTGTGACTGACCTGAATTTGTTGATGGTTATTTTCTTTCCTAGTGTGAGCTGGCTTGTCGGGGACTGAGTGACGCAAGATTTGTTCACGCTCCCACTTTGTGGCTTCAAGAATCCCGTCTAGTTTTTCTGCAGCTGGCATCTGAGTGTGTCTGTGTTCCTATTAGCATAATAAGAGGAGGTGGGGAGACTGGCCCACTCCCCGCCTGCCCACCACGACCCGCCCACACACTTACCTGTGTTATTTGCCCTGATGACTTCCCTGTTCCAGCGGAGGTGTGGCTGGGCCGTCTCCATCCCTGTCTCAACTTCCTGTTGCACCGAATAGTAATGATTTGCTTCCTTGTTGAAAATGTGAATCCAAATGTGAAATTTTTTTCGAATTCTTGTCATAAGGGATTGTTGTGTTAATTAAAGAAGAAATTTCCTAAAGTTTGAGAGAGGAAATAAATGGAAGCACTGAGAACCTTCTAGAATCCGTGTGTTTGTTGTGCTGAGTCTGTTGCAGGTGGAGACAGGATAAGGCCGTGAGGAGCCGAGCGTGGATGGGGCCTGTGCCCAGTGGGTGCCCAGTGCATCGTGGGCTGTGATGTTGTCATTCCTCAGCTGGGTCATCCTTGCTGCTCCTTTGTTGTGGTCCCTTCAGTAGAATCCTGTCCCACCAGGACCTGTGATCACAGGGACTCGGACATCACCTGGACGCTGTTGTGTCTTTGGGCTTCAGCACCGTGGGCAGCGAGGGCTTCGTCAGGTTGGGTCAGCTCAGGCCTGGGTCCGGCCCTCAGCCCCAACATTGTGTGTGTTTAGATTTTGTTTCTTTGTGGAGACTTTGCTGTTGAGAGATGAATTTTCAGACTCATCCAGCCCTTGCCCTCCTTCTAGGGTTGTTTCCTAGATTTTTTCCACCTTTTCTTCTTTTTTAGAGAAACAGATTCTAGAATTAGCAGAGAGGAGGGATCCACTTGTTTCTCATCTTAGATAAATTCTGGTTGGGTTTCTGTCTTCTCTGCAGCCTGCACCCCTCTCTCTGCCCTTTTCTATAGTCATCCTAGTGCTGGCTCCCATCTAAACTGGATTTACAAAGCAGAGGCTACTGTAGATTCACAGTTGATTGGAAAATAGGACCCATAAGCCTAGGATTCTTTTTTCTAAAAAGGGAAGTATAATTGTGTGTGAGTGGTGAAGGGGGCGGCTGTGGGAATGAGGGAGGGGAGAGCCGAGCTTGTGAGAAAGGTACAGGCGGCACTGATGTCAGTGTGAGTGGACATTGAGCTGTAGCTGCCACCAAACAGCATGTGGCCTGAGGCTACATTAATAAAGATACTGTCTGTAGAATAGCGAGGTGCTCTATGCTAATCATTCATTCAACTGATAATTGTTAATTTTGCATCTAGGAAACTTTAGTGAACTCAAAACAGGCAAAAATTGCCAGCCTTGGGGAGCATGTGTTCTAGTGGGGAGGGGCAGACTGTATGCCGTAAGCATGGTGAGGAAGGCACGTGTTTATGTTAGAAGTTTTAAGTGCTTTGAGGAAGGTGACCCAGAGTATAAGTGTGTGGGGACAGGGAAGGTGGCTGTGTTACTAGGGTGGTCAGTGTGGGCCTCACTGGGAAGGTGACCTTGAGGAAAGATGTGAAGGACATGATTTGTCCACAAGGATGTTTGAGAAAGTTCTTCGCAGGCAGGGGAACCTCCAGTGCAAATGCGCTCCGGCAGGAGTGTGTCTGTGTGTCCTGGGAAGAGTGAGGAGGTGGATGAGTCTGGATCAGGGAGCAATTGAGATGACGTCTGAGTTACACCCAAATCATGTAGACCTGGAGGAGATTGGAAGGTTTTGACTTTTCTGTAAGATGGGGAGTTAGAGGATGGTTTTGAACAGAAGATCGACCTGGTGTGACTTCTCTTGAGAAGCATCAGTGTGGTGCTGTGCAGAATCAAGAGGTGAAGGGAGAGCAGCCACTAGAGAAAACTGTAGGAAACCAGTGCCGTGTTCCAGGCTAGAGGTGGTAGTTGCTTTGTCTGGGGTGTGAGCAGGGAAAATAACAAGAATTGTTTGGATTCTGGATACATTCTGAAGATGGGCTTTACGGCGTCTCCTAATGGATTAAATCTGGGTTATGAGAAAGAGGGTCAAGGAGGACACCCCAAATTTCAGATGTGCAAGTGGAAAGATATGAAGTGCCTTCAGTGAAATTGGGGAAGACTTGTAGAAACACATTTGATGAAGCAGCATCATAGACATCCAGTTAGGAAATCTGAAACAGAGACGTCTCTTATATGCAGGTGAGGTTAGTTCTAGTGGTTGGATATGTGAGTTTAGAGTTTAGGAGAAGTGTCTGGGCTAGAAAACTAACTTCGGAGGTGATGCCATATAAGTGATATTTAAAGCCTTGAGAACGGATGAGGTCACCAAAGGTTTAAAGACTGTAGAAGAAAAAGAAACAGGGACTGAACTCTGGGCCCCAGGCACTAAAGTATCTGGTCAGTCCACACACCCAGAGCAGACTGCACAGTTCTGACACCACATCTATGAGGCATGGAGACTAGGTAGTTCCAGACTTTCGTGTGCACAGGAATCCCCTGGCCATCTCCTGAAGGTCTACACAGTCAGGAATAGAGGTGAGGTTCTGCATGTATAACCAGTTTGGTGTTGATACTGCTGGTCTTCAGATCACACGTTTAGTAGGAAGAACATGGACCAGGATTCCCGCATGGGAATCAGCCTCAGAGGCTGATTCCCGCATGGGAATCAGCCTCAGAGGCAGGCAGTGATTCTTGGGCGCTGTGCCCAATATTCTGAGATGGTGATTTTGGAGAGAGGCCTGCGTATTCTGTAACAAGCCCACAAGCAATCCTGGGGCTCAGTCAGATTGGGAAGCACTGATGCCAATGACCAGAGAGCATTCAGGGTAGGGAGGGGTGTTAAATACACAATAAAATGTTTTTTCTTGTGAAGAAAAAGGCAAGACGTATGCTGACAGATATGTGGTGTTTTCTCTACCATGGGGTATGGCCAGGTGGAAGATTGGGAAGTGGTTATTAGCTCAGCAAAAGAAAATCTCTGCGTTCCTAAGAGCGTTTCCAGGACACAGTGCAGGGAGGAGGAGCCTTAACAGAGCCCAGGAGCTTTGCTGAGGTGAGGGGACAGAGTTGTGAATCGGGGGGCCCAGAACAGCCAGTGGAAGGGAAAGCGCATAGAGAAGACAGCTGAACAGAAAAGGCACTGGAAGTCTGCTGAGGGGTCCCCTCAAGTCTTCAGCTCATCGGTGCTTGCACACAAGGAAACTATCCCAGGACAGGAAAGACTAATCCAGAAAGATTACAGAGAATAATATCTAGTACTCTACAGGGATAGGAATAATGCCTGTCCCACCAGCCAGACTGGAAAACCTTACAATTTGCTGGGTGTTGGGTAGAGTATTCAGAGGGGTCTTGTTTCAGTAGTGGGGAACAATTTGCCCTAATCTAAATATTGCCCTATTTGGCCTAACAAATATTAAAAGCAAGACCCAAAAGGATCTTCCAACTTCCAAATAAGTTAATGTATCCCAGAAATAAAGGCAGAAGGATATCTGTGGAATGCAGAAATGTCTAGTGCCTAATAAGGTAAAACCATAAATGTCTGGCATCAAATAAAAAATAACTGGGCATACAAATAAAAAAAGAAAATACAACGCATAAAGTGCATAAAGCAGAGAAAACAATCAACTTAAACTGAACTAGAACTGACACAGACATTAGCATTAGCAGAAAATGACATTAAACCAGTTTGTAAATATATTCCTTATGTTTACCAATTTACATAAGAGATACAAAAGTGCATGAAAGACCAAAGTCCTCCTTCCAGAGATGAAAATGTCTGATTTGAAATATACACTGGATGTGAGATGGGTTTAATGGTAGATTTCATATTGCAGAAGAAAAGATTACTGACCTTGAAGATGTAGCAATACAAACTCTCCAAAATTATATGCAGTAATAATTATTAAAAGTATTGTTGGATTTGTAATATATTTATATATGATTTGTATAACAAAACAGCCATAAAAGGAGGAAGTAGAAATTGAGCTATGGTCAGGTTTGTATACCTCACTGAAATTAAGTTGTTATAAATCTGAAGTGGATTTTGATAAGATAATGATATGGTAAACTCTAGAGTAACTACTAAGTTACTACTAAGTAACTACTAAGAAAATAACTCAAAAATATAGTGAAAATTACTAAATAAGTATTATAGTATTAAAGTATTATAGTAGAAAATATGCACTTAATAAAAAGCAACCCGTAAAAGGAATGGGGGGGGGATAGACATGAGACACATAGAAAATAAAAGTAAAATGGCATCATAAAGCCACTGTATCAATATTAACATTAAATATAACGGAGTTTGGGGGCTGGCCCCATGGCCAGGTGGTTAAGTTTGTGAAGTTTGTGTGCTCTGCCTCGGCAGCCCAGGGTTCAACAGTTTGGATCCTGGGCGCGGACCTACACACTGCTCATCAGGCCATGCTGTGGCGGCATCCCACATGGAAGAACTAGAATGACCTACAGCCAGGATATACAACTATGTACTGGGGCTTTGGGGAGAAAAAAAAAAGAGGAAGATTGACAAAAGATGTTAACTCAAGGCCCACCTTCCTCACTAAGAAAAAAAAGCATATAAACGTCAACAAAATAAATAAAATAAAACTGAGTTAAAACAGTCTATCAAATCACAGATTGTTAAACTGAAAACAAAACAAGATACATCTATTCTGTCTACAGTAGACACACCTGAGATTCAAGTAACATGGATTAAAGTTAAAAGGATGGAAAATATATCTCAGGCAAACAGCAACCATAAATAGCTGGAGTAGCTTCACTGGTATCAGACAAAAGAGACTTAAATGCTAGTAAGACAGATAGGGACATTTTATAACAATAAAAGGGTCAATCCATCAGAAAGATAAAACAATTATAAACATATATGCACCTAATTACCGACCACCAAGTACATGAAAACAAAATTGGCAGAAATTGAGAGAAATAAACAATCCAACAAGAATAGGTGGAGACTTCAGTATACTACTTTCAGTAATGAACAGAACAACTATGCAGAAGATCAAAAAATAACAAGAAGACTTTAGCAATGCTAAAAAACAAAAGTATAAACCTAACTGACCTTTATGGATCACTTCACCCAAGCACAGTAAAATATACATTCTTCTCAAATGCACATGGAGCATTCCTCAGGATAAACCATATGCTAGGCCACAAAACAAACTTCAATAAGCTTAAAAAGATAGAAAGAATACAAAGTATGTTCTTTTATCACAGTGGCATGAAATTAGAAATCCACTAATAACAGAAAGAAACTGGGGAAACTCACAAATGTGGAAATCAAGTAACACATCACTACATAACCAATGAATCAAAGAAGATATCAAAATGGAAATCAGATAATACTTTGAGATTAAGGAACATCCAGAGACGGCATACCAGAATTTATTGGATGCTACTAAAACACTACTTAGAGGGAAATTTATAGACGTAATGCCTACATAAAACAGAAACATCTCAATTCAATTACCTGACCTTCCACCTTAAGTCAAAGGTAAAAGAGGACAAAACTAAGCCAAAAGCAAGATGAAGGAAGGAAAAAGTAAAGATTTGAGTAAAAATTAAATAAGTAGAGAAAAGAGAACAGAGAAACAATACATAAAATTCACTAAATCCAATTTGGTCCTTTGAAAATCAACAAAACTGACATCTTCAACGAGACTCACTGAAAAAAAAAAAGAGAGCGAGAGAGAAGACTCAAATTACTAGGACCAGCAGTGAAAGAGAGGACATTATGACTGACCATACAGAAAGGAGGAGAATTTAAGAGAATACTATGAACAATTATATGCCAAGAATTAGATTACTTAGACGAAATACATCAATGCATAGAAAGATACAAACTACTAAAGCTGATTCAAGAAGTAGACACCCTTAATATACCTATCAGAAATCAGAAGACTGAATCAGTTATAAAAATTATCCATAAAAAAAGCCTAGGTCCCAATGGCCTCACTGATGAACTCTACCAAATATTTAAAGAATTCAAAGCAATTCTTTATAAACGCTTTCAAAAAGGAGAAGAAGAAGAAAGATCACCACATCATTTCATGAGGCCAGTATTATTCAGATACCCAAACCAGCCAATGATATCACAAGAAAAGAAAACTACAGGCCAATTATCTGTTATGAATATACACAGAAATCCTCAACAAAATATAGTAAGTCAAATCAAACAATGTACAGAAAGAATTATACACCATGACTAAGTGGAATTTATTCCAAGAATGCAAGGTTGGTTTAACATTCAAAAAAATCAATTAATGTAACACACTATATTAATATAATAAAAAACAAAAACCACATGCTTATCTCAATAGATGGAGAAAAAGCATTTGTCAAAGTCTGACACCCTTTCATGATTAAAAAAAAAAACTCTCAACAAACTAGTAATAGAAGAGAATTTCCTCAATCTGGTTAAAGGCTTTTATGAAAACTCTAAAGCTAACATCATATTTAATGGTGAAAGAATGGTTGTTTTCCTCCTAAATCAGCAGTAAGATAAGGATGTCCACTCTCACCACTTCTACGCAACATTGTGCTAGAGGTTCCAGCCTGAGCAATTGTGCAAGAAAAAGATAAAATGCATTCAAACTGGAAAGGAAAAAGTAAAACTATCTCTATTTACAGATGACTGATCCTGTACACAGAAAACTCTAAGAAATTCACTAAAAAGCTATTAGAACGAATAAGAAGTTCAACACATTTGTAGGACATGATGGCAAATATACAAAAATCAATTATATTTCTATACAATAAATAATCCAGGAATGAAACTAAGAAGATATTCCATTTACAACACCATCAAAAAGAATAAATATTAGGAATACATTTAATAAATGAAGTGTAAAACTTACACTCTGAAAACTACAAAATGTTGGTAAAAGAAATTAAGGAACATCTGTGTAAATGGAAAAATATTCCTGAATTAGAAGAATTATTATTATTAAGATGGCAATACTCCCTAAATTGATCTATAGATTCAACAGCCTATCAAATACCTAACTGACTTCTTGCTAGGAATGACAAACTGATTCTAAATTCAGATTGAAATTCAAGGAACCTACAATAGGCTACAATAGCCTTTGTCTTTGATAAGACAAAGAACAATGTAGGAGGACTCACAATTCTCAATTTCAAAACTTCCTACAGGGGCGGGCCTGGTGGCACTGCAGTCAAGTTAACACGTTCTGCTTCAGTGGCCTGGGGTTTGGTGGCCCAGATCTCAGGTGGGGACCTATGCACCGCTTATCAAGCCATGCTGTGGCAGGTGTCCCACATATAAAGTAGAGGAAGATGGGCATGGATGTTAGCTCAGGGCCAGGCTTCCTCAGCAAAAAGAGGAGGATTGGCGGCAGATATTAGCTCAGGGCCAATCTTCCTCAAACAAACAAACAAACAAAAACTTGGTACAAAGCAACGGTAATCAAGACAGTGTGGTACTGGCATACAGATAGACATATGGATCAATGGAATAGAAGTGAGAGTTCAAAAATAAAACCATATGTCTATGGTCAACTGACTTTCAACAGAGGTGCCAAGATCATTCAATGGGGGAAAGAATAATCTTTTCAACAAATGGTGCTGGGACAGCTGGACAGCCACGTGCAAACTAATAAAGCTGGACACTCACCTTACACCATATACCAACCTTAATATAAAATGGACCAAAGACCTAAACATAAGACATAAAACTATAAAACTCTTAGAATAAACCACAGGGGAAAATCTTCATGACATCGGATTTGGCAATGATTTCTTTGATATGACACCAAAGGCACAGCAACACAAGAAAAAATAGGCTAATGGGAGTTCACCAAAATTAACAACTTCTGTGTATCAAAGGATTATATCAACAGTAAAAAGGCAACCACAGAATGGAAGAAAATATTTGCCAATCAAATGTCTGATAAGCAATTAATATCTAGAATACATAAAGAAATCCAACAACTCAATAACAAAAAGACAACCATATTTTAAAACAGGCCAAAGAATTGAAGAAATACATCTCCAAATAAGATATGCAAATGCCAACATATGCATACATATATACTACATATACCATCCTAGTGGGTGGGGTGTTTCATTGTGGTTTCCACTGATTAATGATGTTGAGCATCTTTTTAGATGCTATGATACACTTATGTGCCTGGTGGTTTCCAGGGTCTGAGGAAAGGGTGAATTGGGAGTTATCGTTCATTGGGAATATAGTTTCAATACAGGATGGTGAAAAAGTTGTATTAAGATGGTTATATCTCCAAATTAATCTACAGATTCAATTCAATTTTATAAAAATCCCAGCTGATTTCTTTGCAGAAACTGATGAGTTCATCTTAAAATTCGTGTGGAAATTCAAAAGACTAGGTAAAACACTCTTGAAAAAGAACAACAAAGTTTGAGGACTCACATTCCAGGTTTCAAAATTTACTACAAAGCTACAATAATCAAGACAGCGTGTTACCAGCATAAGGACGGACATATAGATCAACAAAATAGAATTGAGCGGTCAGAAATCAACCCTCACATTTATGGTCAGTTGAATTTCAAAAGAAGCGCCGAGACAATTCAATGAGGAAAGGTTAATCTGCTGACATGATTGTGTATCCACATGCAAAAGAATGAAGTTGGACCTTTACCTCTCACCATCTGAAAAAATTATCTCAAGGTAGATCAAAGACCTAAACATAAATGCTAAAACTGTAAAACTCTTAGAAGACAATAAATGCATGAATCTTCTTGACATTGGATTAAGCAATGGTTTCTTAAATATGACACTGAAAATGTATGTAACAAAGGAACAATTACATTAACTGGACTTGATCAGATTTAAAACCTTTTGTGCTTTGAAGGATACCTTCAAAAAAGTAAAAATATAGCCCCAGACTGGGAGGAAATATTTGCAAATCTTTTATCTAAGGAACTAGTCTCTAGAATATATAAATAACTCTTCCAGCTCAATAATAGAAAAAAACAACCAAATTAAAAAATGAGCAAGTGTTTGATAGACATTTATCCATGGGAGATATACAAATGGCAAATAAGCACCTGAAAAGATGCTTCACATTCTTAGTCCTTAGGGAAATGCAAATCAAATCTATAACATAATACCACTTCACACTTCCTAGGATGGCTAGAATCAAAAAGACCAATATTAAGAAGTGCTGTGAGGTTGTAGAGAAAATGGGACCCTTGTAAACTACTGGTAGGAATATAAAATAGTGCTGCCACTTTTGAAAAGAGTCTGGCAGTTCCTTATAGTTTGAAAATAGTGTCGCCATATGACTCAGCAATTCCATTCCTAGGTATTTACCCAAGAGAAATGAAAACATATGTCCACACAAAAACTTGTACATGATATTCATGCAGCATTATTCATAATAGATAAAATGTAGAAACAACTCAAATATCCATCAATTGATGAATAAATAAATAAAAGTGACATATCAATGCAGTGGAATACTATTTGGCAATAAAAAGAAATGAAGTACCAATGCATGCTATGGATGGAGGAAACTTGAGTACATTAGGCTTCATGAAAGAAACAGAAAGAAAAGATCAAATGGATTCCTTGATTCCATTTATATGAAATGGCCATCATAAGCAAGTCCATATGCACAGAAAGTAGATTAGTGTGTTCTTAGGGAGGAGAGGAGTGTTGGAGGGAAATGGGGACTGACTGCTCAGGAATAAATGGTCATGGGGAGATGAAAATGTTCCAAAATGGATTATGGTGTTGGTTGCACAGCTCTGTGAATATACTAAAAAAACAGTTCTTCTTTTTTAAATGGTTGAATTACATGTGTTAATTATATCTCAATAAAGCTGTTCTAAGAAAAAGTGATGGCCCACGTTAAATCAAGTAGAGATGCCAGAACTGCCATGGCAGACTGAAGAGAAAGAAAAGGCTCAGAGAAGTGGGCATGCTAGTATGAATCTACTCTACGAAACTGGAAAACCACCAGGTGACTGTTTTCCTTGGAAGGGCCCAAAGGATGCTCTGTATATCAGGCGATGAGGAATGAGCAGGTAAGCAGAACATCAACCTCATTGTTTCTGTTCTTCATAGGCTGGGGCTGACTCTAGGAGATAATATCACAGAACTAGGCTCCCTAGCATCAGTGGGGATAATAAGATCCCAAAAAGTCAGAGACCAGGTGGCAGCAAGTTAGAAACAAAGGAAAAATTGCCAAAATAGCCAGTAATGACAGAATGGAAGTCAGGAAATTCTGACTGCAAGGGCTTTATGGAAATACCTCATAGACCAAAGTATTTCTAGAGGGGCAGCCAACAAGAGTATTGCTTAATATTACACTTAACAGATCAAGAATGAATATGTTGGAGGCTGAGATAAGTTGCCCAATAGAAAATTACAATCCCTTGCCCAGTTTCCAGACCTGAGCCAATCCTCGGATCCAGAACCCACTGGTTGAGTGACAGCCTCTGTCCCCTGAGGAAGAACCCTGCAACACCATGGGAACTGTGTACACTAGTGATTCCCCAAGTCCTTCCATAAAGGTACACATGGTCACTCACTCAGGGCTCCAGACAGGAAGAAAAGAGAATATTTAGATACTTTTTAGGTCTATCGGATGCATTGTCCAACTTGACACTGATACCTGGGGAACCAAAGCACCATCATGAAACCTCATTAGAAGAGAGGCATATGTGGAAGAGAAAATAATTTAAGTCATATCTCAGATCTACCCAAATCTCAGTGGGCTCTCTGTGTCTACACATCTATTTGATGGTCATTTCCCCAGTTTCCAAATATATAATTGCAGTGGATATATTTAGAGTTGGCAAGAAGCCTCACATGGGTTCTTTGACCTGTGGAGTATGAAGTTTTCAGTAAGAAAGGCCAAGTGGAAGCCCCTGACAGAGTCCCCTAACCTCAGACAAGACAGAAAATTAAGACAATATTGTATCTGGGGGGTAGTGGAAGAGGTTAATGTCATCCTCAATGACTCAAAGGATGCAGCAGTGTTGGTCCCCTCACACACCCATCAGTTCACCACTGTGGTTCTTGCAAAAACTGGACGGATCATTGCCAATGATAGTGAACTGCTAAAAACTTAATCATTGATTAGCACCAATTACAGCAGCTGTGTTGAATGTAATATCTTGGGGCTGGCCCAGTGGCATATTGGTTAAGTTCGGCACACTCCACTTTGGCAGCCCTGGGATCGCAGTTTCGGATCCCAGGCATGGACCTACACCACTCATGAAACCATGCTGTGGCAGCGACCCACACACAAAATAGAGGAAGATTGGTGCAGATGTTAGCTCAGGACCACTTTTCCTCACCAAAAAAGAAACGAAAGAAAAGAAGTTGGTTATATTTGCAGGAGACAAATAAGACTATACTTTCTATTTTCCCAGGGCTATGTGACTTCTCCTGCTCCCTATCGTAATGTAGAAAGAAGGAATTTGTATGGAACCACAAAAGACCACAAGTAACCAAAGCAATCCTGAGGAAAAAAAGAACAAAACTGAAGGCATTACACTTCCTGATTTCAAACTATATTACAAAGCTCTAGTAACCAAAATAGTATGGTACTGGCATAAAAATAGGCATATAGACCAATGGAACAGAATCTAGATCCTGTAAAGAACCCAAGTGTGGTATAATGAGAAATAGATTTAGACTTTTTTCCTGGTTCCTGGCACAAAGCTCCTAAAACCCATGGAATTTCCTGAGTGATAGGAATGTCTTTATTTTTTTTTTTTAACTTTTTATTAAGATTATGATAGTTTACAACCTTGTGAAATTTCAGTTGTACATTATCGTTAGTCATGTTGTAGGTGCACCACTTCACCTTTTATGCCCTCCCTCCCCCCCCCCCCCCCCCCCCGACTTTCCCCTGGTAACCACCAATCAGTTCTCTTTCTCTCTATGTTTAACTTCCACCTATGAGTAGAGTCATCCAGAGTTCATCTTTCTCTATCTGGCTTATTTCACTTAACATAATACCCTCAAGGTCCATCCATGTTGTTGTGAATGGGATGCTTTTATCCTTTTTTATGGCTGAATAGTATTCCATTGTGTGTGTGTGTGTATATATCTATATCTATATATCCCGTATCTTCTTTATCCAATCATCAGTTGATGGGCACTTAGGTCGCTTCCATGTCTTGGCTATTGTAAATAATGCTGCAATGAACATAGGGGTGCATGGGACTTTTGGAATTGCTGATTTCAAGTTCTTTGGATAGATACCCAGTAGTGGGATGGCTGGGTCATATGGTATTTCTATTTTTAATTTTTTGAGGAATCTCCATACTGTTTTCCATAGTGGCTGCACCAGTTTGCATTCCCACCAACAGTGTATGAGGGTTCCTTTTTCTCCACAACCTCTCCAATATTTGTCACTTTTTGTTTTGGATATTTTTGCCATTCTAACAGGTGTAAGGTAGTATCTTAGTGTAGTTTTGATTTGCATTTCCCTGATGATTAGTGATGATGAGCATCTTTTCATGTGTCTATTGGCCATCTATGTATCTTCTTTGGAGAAATGTCTGTTCATGTCCCCTGTCCAGTTTTTGATCGGGTTGTTTGATTTTTTGTTGTTGAGCTGTGTGAGTTCTTTATATATCATAGAGATTAACCCTTTGTCGGATAAGTGGCTTGTAAATATGTTTTCCCAATTAGTGAGCTGTTTTTTTGTTTCAATCCTGTTTTCCCTTGCCTTGAAGAAGCTCTTTAGTCTGATGAAGTCCCATTTGTTTATTCTTTCTATTGTTTCCCTCAACTGAGGAGATACAGTGTCCGAAAAGATTCTTTTGAAACTGATGTCAAAGAGTGTACTGCCTATATTCTCTTCCAAAAGACTTATTGTCTCAGGCCTAATCTTTAGGTCTTTGATCCATTTTGAGTTTATTTTGGTGTGTGGTGAAAAAGACTGGTCAATTTTCAATCTTTTGCATGTGGCTGTCCAGTTTTCCCAGCACCATTTGTTGAAGAGACTTTCTTTTCTCCATTGTAGGCCCTCTGCTCCTTTGTCGAAGATTAGCTGTCCATAGATGTGTGGTTTTATCTCTGGGCTTTCAATTCTGTTCCATTGATCTGTGGACCTGTTTTTGTACCAGTACCATGCTGTTTTTATCACTGTAGCTTTGTAGTATGTTTTGAAATCGGGGATTGTGATTCCGCCGGCTTTGTTTTTCTTGCTCAGGATTGCTTTAGCAATTCGCGGTCTTTTGTTGCCCCATATGAATTTTAGGATTGTTCAATTTCTGTGAAGAATGTTCTTGGGATTCTGATTGGGATAGCATTGAATCTGTAGATTGCTTTAGGTAGTATGGACATTTTAACTATGTTTATTCTTCCAATCCATGTGCAAGGAATGTCTTTCCATCTTTCCATCTCTTTATGTCATCGTCAATTTCTTTCAAGAAAGTCTTGTAGTTTTCATTGTATAGATCCTTCACTTCCTTGGTTAAGTTTATCCCAAGGTATTTTATTCTTTTCGTTGCGATTGTGAATGGGATTGAGTTCTTGAGTTCTTTTTCTGTTAGTTCATTGTTAGTGTATAGAAATGCTACTGATTTATGCACGTTAATTTTATACCCTGCTACTTTGCTGTAGTTGTTGATTATTTCTAATAGTTTTTCTGTGGATTCTTTGGGGTTTTCTATGATAATAGATCATGTCGTCTGCAAACAACGAGAGTTTTACTTCTTCGTTACCTATTTGGATTCCTTTTATTTCTTTTTCCTGCCGAATTGCTCTGGCCAGCACCTCCAGTACTATGTTGAATAGGAGTGGTGAAAGTGGGCACCCTTGTCTTGTTCCTGTCCTCAGAGGGATGGCTTTCAGTTTTTGTCCATTGAGTATGATGTTGGCTGTGGGTCTATCATATATGGCCTTTATTATGTTGAGGTACTTTCCTTCTATACCCATTTTACTGAGGGTTTTTATCATAAATGGGTGTTGGATCTTGTCGAATGCTTTCTCTGCATCTATTGAGATGATCATGTGGTTTTTGTTTCATTTTGTTGATGTAGTGTATCACGTTGATTGACTTGCGGATGTTGAACCATCCCTGTGTCCCTGGTATAAATCCCACTTGATCATGGTGTATAATCTTTTTGATGTATTGCTGTAATCGGTTTGCCAAAATTTTGTTGAGGATTTTTGCATCTATGTTCATCAGTGATATCGGCCTGTAGTTCTCCTTCTTTGTGTTGTCCTTGTCAGGTTTGGGGATCAGAGTGATGTTGGCTTCATAGAATGTGTTAGGGAGTTCTCCATCTTTCTCAATTTTCTGGAACAGTTTGAGGAGAATAGGTATTAAGTCTTCTTTGAATGTTTGGTAGAATTCTCCAGAGAAGCCGTCTGGTCCTGGACTCTTATTTTTGGGGAGGTTTTTGATTACCGTTTCTATTTCCTTACTTGTGATTGGCCTATTCAGATTCTCCATTTCTTCCTGATTCAGTTTGGGGAGATTGTAGGAGTCTAGGAATTTGTCCATTTCTTCCAGGTTGTTCAATTTGTTGGCATATAGTTTTTCATAGTATTCTCTTATGATCTCTTGTATTTCATTGGTATCTGT